AACTCCTGAGCTCAAACAATCCGCCCGCCTCGGCCTCCCAGAGAGCTAGGATTACAGGCGTGAGCCACCGTGCCCGGCCTCAAATCTTTAGCACTACCTTACAAATAACTACATATATAGTAGTGTTCATAATACCACTGAGAGACTGTAAGCTACACATGTATCAATGATTTAGATTTTGTTGATGCTTTCTATGTATTATTTCATAACATTTATCATTCATATTATTTGTATATTTTTATGAACAAAAAATAGAAACTTCCAAGGTTTATTAACAAATATATATAAATGCATGGAAGTATTTTCTGCAAATACAGCAAGACGTAAAGCTTATTTACTTTAGCAATATGTACATTATACTTTGTATTGTTTTGGTTCAAAGATGAAATAACTAGGTTCCTAGATTTTTGCTATAAACACTGTGAAGCAAAGTACAGTATGTTTTTATAGATCTTGAATCCATGCCCAATACATTTATGGGCTCACAGTCCAATAGAAAAACATTGCTATTCACTGGGGAATAATATTTAATGGCAAAAAAAAAAAGAAAAGAAAAACAATCAGGTATTGAGAGAATGGGGAAGAAAAGAAGAATAAACAAAAAGATGATAAACAAAATATAAAAGGTCTATTGAGAAATTGGAAAAAATATATTTAGAATATAAATATAGTTTATATATTTGTAGTAAAAAACTTATTTAATTTACTGAAAAAAAATTCTCTAAAACTGATGTAATCAACATCACATGTTAAATATATTAAATGACATGTACAATAAAGCTATACATCTTATTTCGCTATGTTTGAAAACTGATTTATTTGCCTTCCAATCAGAAAGAAGTCTAAACTGGTCATATCTATTAAAATGACTTATTCAGGGAAATTTACTGCCGAAATTCAAACACTAATTCTATACCTCAACAATTTTTAATGTGATAGAGTCTCAATCCCAGGAGTTCTTTAAGAAAAGAACTATTTTATTGTCAAAAGTTCAGGTACACATGAACCAGAAAGCAGTGGCTGAGTCAAATCATCTCTATAATTTGATAAAACTAAAGCTACAAAGCAATGGTAATATCACCAAAGAAAGAACCTAGCATGAAAATATTATCTAAATGGTTGGGTTTCAAAGACACTTTGAATTCTGGATATCTTAACTTGAGGAATCCCAATAATACATTAAATTCCTTGGATCCTCATTTAAAGTGAGAAACTCATTTCTAAGCATATGTGCACAAGTACCTTAGCCTCTTCATGCCTGCTTGTCTGTCCCACAGTCAGAGAAGGGAGGATATTTGGTTAGGCATATGTTTACAAGTAAAGACAGAAAAATTCCAACTTTAAAACCAAATATTTTCCTTGTTTAATTCTGGTATCTTATTGGTCCATATGCTGCCTCCTCCTCACAGTATGGTATCAAAATCTCCTAGATTCTGACTTTCTTTTAAAGTATAATGATAACATCAAGGAGACAGGATTGAAGAGTAGAAATACTATATGAGAAAGCAGAGCAAAACAGATGATGATCTGAACGCACACTGACATACTTGCTGAAGACATTAGGTGCTCCATAAATGCTTGTTCAAATGCTGTTTGGCAACATTTGTTGTGGAAAATTCATCTCTTTCTCCAATTTAAGACTCCTCATGAGTTAATCACAACCAGTTCAGTATAATATAACAGAAAACATCTGGTGGCACTTTTAAATGCTTAAGGACAGCATTTCACAAACTATGCCTGCCCCTACACCCACTGCAGCAGGGGAAAATAAGGTTAATGAGAGAAGCAGACATGAATATCAGGAGAGTCCTGAACTTACCATTTGTTTACATAGATTTGGTCTTGCCTGAGGCCAGCCCCACTCCTAGATTTTCTACAGAATGCCCACACATTCCTTTTTTCTTTTTGGCTTACGCTAGATGGATTTCAGTTTCTGTAATTTGCACCTAATAGAATACTACTATAGAGTGCCTGTTCAGTGCAAAAGATCTTGTTTCTGAATCCACAATATTCATATGTATATCAGAGTCCCATCAATGTCCTTTCATGGTAATTGACAAGGTAACTGTGTCAGGAAAAGAAACAGTAAGATTGAGAAATAACCACAATCCCTCTTATAGACTCAAAATATATTAAAAAGCTTCTGAGAAGTTATTCAGTAAAGCAACTTCTTTAACTCAGTTGACCTCACATTTACAAATTGTATTTGTGATGGAATCTTTTTAATGACTTCTTATGTCCTTTAGAACTACTAACTGGTGGACCACAGTTTGGGAAGTGCTAGTTGGAAACACGACCATGCTCCCTTAGATCCAGCATCTGAAAAAATATAAAAACGAGCATTCCTACCTGCTTCCTAATATATTAAAAATTTTAAATATACCAGAAGATCACAAAACTCATTTTTGAATGTAAAAGTAGTTTACATTCTAGATTGAAACTAACTTACCTGCATTGAAATAAGAATGAAATCAATTAGGCTCCCAATTCCACAAAACCCTACAGTGCAAAACTTTAACAAACCTAGAAAAGAAGGTAAAGTTATTTAGAATCTGTAAAGTCTTATAAATATTAACAAACTTTTCTATTTTCCAGAAAACCATTATATGTACCACAAATTCTTTATATCTAGAATATAAAAGTAACACTTTAAAAAATCCAATCTTCACCTGAAAACATGAGATAAGTTGAAATGAACCCTCTATATAGAAAAGCCCCCAAATAATTTATTAATTCACTTAACAAACAA